GCTACACGGAGGGGTGCCTCTGGAACGCGCAGCTGGCGGAGAGGTGCTACCCCGGCTGGCGCGTCCGCGTCTACGCGGACGCCGCCTCGGTTCCGGAGCGAGCGCTGGCGCGCCTGCGCGCTGCCGGGCCACACGTGGAGGTCGTCACCGTCGCGGCGGGCTTCCTGTCCGCAGAGGGCAGGGCGGACGTGTGGTTCGAGGGCATGTTCTGGCGCCTGCTCGCTGCCGCGGATCCCGCCGTCGAGCGCGTGGTGGTGCGCGACTGCGACAGCCGCCTGAGCTCCCGGGAAGCCGTCGCCGTGAGAGGTTGGGCGGAGGGCCCGTGGGGCGCGCACGTCATGCGTGACCACCCCAGGCACCACATACAGGTCGTCGGCTGCTGCTGGGGCGTCCGCGCCGACGCCTTCCGGGACATAGAGCAGCTGATCCGGGACTTCCTGGCCTCGGCCGCCGGCGTCGAGTTGCGAGAGGCCGATCAGCACTTCCTCGCGCGGGTGCTCTGGCCGCGCATGAGGGAGGTGGGCGTGCTGGCGCACGACAGCTACCACTGCGAGTCCTTCCCAGAGGGCGCCCGGCCGTTCCCCTCGCAGCGCCTGGGACAGGGCGCGGACGCGCTCGGGTTCGTGGGCGAGCAGATGGACGAGTGGAATCGCCGCAACCCGCGGCATCTGGGGCTCCTCAGGCGCCCAGGGAGGTGGAGGAGGAGGAGGAGGGGGGGGGGAGGGGAAGGAGGAGGGGGAGGAGGGTGAAGAGGAAGCGGTGGAGGAGGGGGAGGAACATATTAGTGTAATTTTGGTTTGAGTCTCCTGCGGGGCCCATGGCAACGGCTAACTTCGCACCGAAACCGCGGTCAGAACGCGCCCCTGGAGGTGTCTGGGGGCTGTCTTCATAGGAGGAGGGAGGAGGGTAAGAAAACTGACGATGAGGATGATGATGTTGATGCTGCTGATGATGATGACGATGCGGATGCGGATCATGATGATACTGATGATAATGCTAATGCTGATGATGACGAGACTGATGATGATGATGATGATGATGATGCTGATGCTGATGCTGATGCTGATGCTGATGCTGATGATGATGCTGATGCTGAGGCTGATGCTGATGCCGATGATGACGGTGACGATGATGATGCTGATGATGATGCTGATGCTGATGCTCTGATGATGATGATGATGATGATGATGATGATGATGATGCTGGTAGCGATGAGGATGATGCTGATGTGCAAGATGATGACATGATGCTGCTGCTGATGACGATGATGAGGATGATGCTAATTCTGATGATGAGGATCATGATGCGGCTGATGACCATGATGATGATGATGATGATGATGATGATGATGGCGATGCTGCTGATGATAATGCTGGTGCTCATGATAATGATGATGATTGTGATGCTGATGCTGCTGTTGATGATGATGACGATGACGACGAGGATGATGATGATGATGATGATGATGATGATGATGATGCTGACGATGATGATGTTGATGAATATGCAAAACATGATGTTGACGATGATGATGACGACCATGATTATGATGGTGATCATGATGATGATGATGATGATGATGATGATGGTGGTGGTGATACATGCTGACGGTGATGATGGTGATGATGGTGATGATGATGCTGATGATGCTGATGATGATGCTGATGATGCTGACGACGATGATGATGCTGCTGATGCTGATGCTGATGATGTTGCTGATACTGATGATGCTGCTGATGCTGATGATGCTGATGCCGATACTGATGGCGATGATGATGATGATGATGATGATGATGATGATGATGATGATGATGATGATGATGATGATGATGATGATGATGATGATGATGATGATGATGATGATTGTTGATTCCGATGATGGTTTTGATTATGATGATGATGATGATGATGATGATGCTGGTGACGACGATTATGCTGCGATGATTATGCTGATGATACTGCCGCTGATGCTGATAATGATGATGTTGAATGTGATGATCATGATGATGCTGCTGATGCTGATGATGATGGTGGTCATAGTGGTGATGGCGTCAGTGGTGCTGAGTATGATTGTGACGACGATGATGGCGATGCTGGTGATGCTGATGCTGCTGCTGCTGATGACGATGATGATGATTATCCTGGCGAGGTTGGTGGTTCTGGTGGGGGTGATGATGATGATGATGATGATGCTGAGGCTGATGAGGATGATGATGCTCACGATGATGCTAATGATGATGTTGATGCTGATGCTGCTGATGATGTTGATGCCGATGATGGTTTTGATGATGATGATGATGACGCTGCTTAGCATGATGATGATGCTGATGATGATGATGATGATAATGATGCTGTTGCTGATGCTGATGCTGATGCTGATGATGGTGGATATGATTATGGTTATTGTGGGGATGGTGACGACGATGATGACGATGATGATGCAGCTTATGATGATGACAACGATGACGATGATGATGATGATGCTGATGATGATGATGATGATGATGCTGACGATGCTGATGATGTTGATGATGGTGCTGACAACGATGGTGATGATGATGATGATGATGCTGAGGATGATGATGCTGATGCTGATGCTGATGATGCTGCTGATGGTGATGCTGCTGATGGCGATGCTGCTGATGATAATGCTGCTGACGACGACGATGATGCTGATGATGATGATGATGCTGATGATACTGCTGCTGCTGCTGATGGTGATGCTGATGACGATGCATGTGTTGGTGATGATGATGCTGATGATGATTATGATGCTGATGATGATGATGACGGTGGCGGTGGTTGTGGTGGTGGTGGTGGTGGTCGTGGTGGTGATAGCTGCTGCGGCTGCTGCTTCTGCTGCCGGTGATGATGATGCTGATGATGGTGGTGATGGTGATGATGATGATGATGATGATGATGATGATGATGCTGATGCTGATGATGATGATGATGACGATGATGATGATGACGATGATGATGAGGGTGAGGGTAATGATGATGATGATGATGATGATGATGCTGATGATGATGATGATGATGACGATGATGCTGCTTTTGATGATGATGCTTATGATGATGATGATGATGATGATGATGATGATGATGATGATGATGATGACGCCGATGGTGACTATGATAAGGATGATGATTGTGGTTGCGGTGGTGATGATGCAGACAGTGATGGTGATGGTGCTAGTGGTTGTGGTAGTGGTGTTGGTGATTAGAATTCCGATGATGGACGATGGTTACTCAGCGTTGGTACGATGAGACTGACGAGCAGAAGGTTGATGATGAGGAAGAGGTGTCCCGCTTAATCCTGCCCGCTGCCGGGAGAGCGCCCCGCGGAACGCCGCGGAATAGCCTTCATTATCTGCCAGTGGTTTTGTCCTCAGCGGCGCGGTCAGCTCCTTCACACTCGGGGCCCTGGCTTCTCGAGCCAATTCAAAATTCGGATTCGCTTGAACATTCAGGCGTATAGCGCATCAGCACCTCATCACATCAGGGCACCGTCCACATGTAGGATGTGTGCGTCCCACCATCTAGGACGATACATAACCACATCATTCAGGACGGCGCACTATCTAGGAATCGTATCACAGCATAGCACAGCGTCGCAGATGCCGTTAGCGCATAACGCGGTGTATATATATATATATATATATACAAAGCAGCATAAACATACAGCACATGCCATATCGCTGCTTACCAAGCCATGGCCGTGCAAATCTGGTACGATAGCGCAGCGTAGCACACACGTTTCGCTCCATGTCGCTGCTTCCACTGTGTTGCGTTCCCTTGTTGCGCTCCATTGTGTTACCTTATGCCCCGTGACGTTAGCCTGCCCGCGCCAGTCTCTGGTTTGACATCGACTCCAGGAATGCTGGCGCTCCAGTCGCGTATTTTGGCCCGAGAGACGGCGGCGGCAGCAAGGCCTGCACCTTAGTCTCAGGCAAGCCATCCAGTTTGGCTTGGTTTCAGTTAAAATCGTTCAGGCTTACGGGATCGCTGACGGTGCTGCCTATCGCGCGTCTTTCACTCAGGCCCCCTACTTCGGACGGTGCCGTGCCTGTTCACACCAGAGACGTGCGGGCTCTCCCCGGCGCCACGCGCTCGACGGTGGCACCCTCCTCCTCCCGCTCGGAACGGAGGAGGGCAGGAGGAGGGGGCAGCACGCACGAGGAGGAGGAGGAGGAGGAGGAGGAGGAGGGAGGAGGAGGAGGAGGAGGAGGAGGAGGAGCTCGGGCTCACGAGCATGGGCCGACGAGGCATCGCTGCATCCTCCTCCTACTCCTCCTCCTCCTGGCATCAGGTACGTGCCAGGAGGAGGAGGAGGGCGGAGGCGGAGGCGGAGGAGGAGGAGGAGGAGGAGGAGGAGGAGGAGGGGAGGAGGAGGAGGAGGGAGGAGGAGGAGGAGGAGGATGCAGCGATGCCTCGTCGGCCCCTGCTCGTGAGCCTGAGCAGAACTGCCGCGTCCCCGCCGCCGAGCACCCTCCTCGGTGCACGGCGCCTGGGAAAGCCAGCTGGGTGAGCGGGCTCGCGAGCTCCGCTTGAGTGTGCAACGGGACGCGAGCTGAATTGTGGTGTGGCTGGGGCGATCTCTTGGGCCGCTTCCGTTTGTGGTCTCGTTTTGCAGACACCGCGATAACGGAAGACACTGTTTAGCTCGCGCCCTGCTGAGTCATCCCCCCTTTCCATCGACCTGATTCCCGTGCTGGGCTGGGCCGCGACCGGGCCTGTGGTGGGTCGGCGGTGTCGTGCAGACCCCCTCCCTCGAACCTGCCCTCTGCTCTCTCTGCTCCTCTTCCCTCCCCGCCCCCTCCCCTCTCCCTCCTCACCTCGCCCCCGCCCTGGCCTCGCAGCACCTCGCGCGCCCGAGGCGGTGCCTCCGCACCCCCTCGCTCTGGGCTCGGCGCCTGCTCGGGCCCTGCGGCCGCCGCTGCGGCACCATCCCTCCTCGGCGCCGTCCTGGCGCCTCGCCCGGACGCCCGCTCGATCGCCCGCGCGGCTCCCGTCCTCCCTCCTGGGCCTCCCGCGGGCCGCCCCCCTGGCCGCCCCGCTCCGTGCTGCGCGCGGCTGCCTCCTCCGCGCTCCGCGCCCCGGCCGGGCGCCTCCCGGTGGTGCTCGGCGTCCCTCGGCGACTGCCGCGCGGCGCTCGTCGCTCACGGCGTGGGGACTTCTCTCCGGCTGGTGCCACTTGCAGCAGGTGGGGGTGAGGAGGAGGAGGAGGAGGAGGAGGAGGAGGAGGAGGAGGAGGAGGAGGAGGAGGAGGAGGAGGAGGAGGAGGAGGAGGAGGAGGAGGAGGAGGAGGAGGAGGAGGAGGAGGAGGAGGAGGAGGAGGAGGAGGAGGAGGAGGAGGAGGAGGAGGAGGAGGAGGAGGAGGAGAAAGGAGGAGGAGGAGGAGGAGAAAAGAGGCCGAGGATCTCGTTCGTTCGGTCCCTCCTCCTGCGCACCGCCTGGCTGGCGCATGCTCTGAGCCCTCGGGGGCCCTCTTCTCTTCGAGTTCCTCTGGCCTGTCCCATTCTGCTGCGCCAGCCAGGTCTGATTTGTTTGTCGCTCCGCTAAGTCGACGTACTCTTTTTTCCACACATTCGGTGACGTTCCAGGCTGCAGCCCTGAACGTTCCAGGCTGCAGCCCTCAATTCGCGCAGCGTCCAAAAGGAGGAGAGGGGTGAGGGACAT